CACCTCCCTAGGCAGCACATTCCAATGTCTGATTACTCTTTCCATAAAAAAATCTCTTCCTAATATCCAACCTAAACCTCCCCTGGCAGAGCTTGAGTCTGTGCCCTCTTGTCCTGCTGCTGGTTGCCTGGGAGAAGAGACCAACCCCCACCTGACTCCAACCTCCTGTCAGGGAGTTGTAGAGGATGATAAGGTCTCCCCTGAGCCTCCTCTTCTCCAGGCTGAACACCCCCAGCTCCCTCAGCCTCTCCTCATGGCACTTGTGCTCCAGTCCCTTCACCAGCCTCGTTGCTCTTCTCTAGACCTGCTCCAGCCCCTCAATAGCCTTCCTGAACTGAGGGGCCCAGAACTGCACACAGTATTCAAGAAGCTGCTCCTCTCCCATGACATGGGTGAGACAGTGTCTGTCCACAGTTTAGGATACTAGGTCCCACTCTGCTGGTATTAATATGAAGAGAATGCAGATGGGTGCAAATAAGCACATTAACATTTCCAATAAAACTTGCAAAAAGATTTTATATCCATTTATTGAAAATAAACTCAGAATGGGGCCACAAGAGCATGCATGCAGTGGCATTTTATATATGAATCCTACCCTGTTCTCCAGGGACAGGGTTGCTATGAAATCTTATCTCTACTTAAATCAGCAGATTTATCATTAACTCTGTTCAACTCAATCAGTATGTAAATAACCTATTCTCACCAAAGCCAAGTAACAGTGGAGAAGCAGGTTTTTTGGTTTTCATAGTGAAAGGCCTATCCTTGCCAATGGGATGCTAAACAGGGCCTTGATGATGAGGCTAGGAACTCCAAACCCTGATCCCAGCTCTGACACGAAATCTTTCACAGACTTGTTAGAATGAGCAGTTTACATTAAAGGATAAATTGTTTTCTTATCTCACCAGTTTGTCACAGACTGCCAATATCTGCTCAGTTGGGTGAGTGACATGAGTTTGAGCACATGATTTCTTCTCCATTTCTCAGATGATCACTGGTCATTCTGGCTGAGCTCTGGTTAGTTATGTTCATCTTATTTTAAAATTTAAACAATTGAATAGCAGTGGGAAGTTTGGTATTTTGGCATAATATAGGATATCATTTGAATTTTGAGATAATTTGCATTGGCTTCTATCTGTGTGTGGAGTTTTAAAAAAGAACAAAAACTACATTAAGGTAACTAAGAATAGAAGCTATGGCTCAAAAGGATTTGAGATTAGCTGAAATTATTTCAAAAGGAGAGCAAGGACTATTTTTAAATGAAAGAGAGAAAAAAAGAGAAATATTAGGCTAGACTCAGTCATTAATCATCAGAATGAGTTTCCAGTATGAAATAGTTATCCAGAACAAGGACAAAGTTCAAAATGAGATATATGTCCTACTTTACCATGGATTGCAGTGTGAGGTCCTTGCAGCCCCAGGTCTAAATTGTGCATTCAGTCGTAACACAGAATAGCATGGTGGACTGCCAAATTATATTCTTCTGTTCTGACTGCCATGATTATGGATAGCCTGTAATGACAATTCCATTTTGCAAACAAAATCTTTGAGGATTTCTGAGCTGGGGAGGGGATTCTTTGGTTGGGGTTGCTTTTCTGTTCCAGAAGCTTATGATTAAGATATTAACTTCAGCTGTTGGACATGTGGGTTTACATCTATGCTTTGTTTGATTTGGAATAAGAATTTAAACCAAACCAATCATAACCTGGCTGGTTTTATTCTAAATTCTGATCTACTCATCTTTTACTCTTCCCTGTTGAAGCTGGTTTTTGTATGTGAAAGTTCTATAGAGTCAAAGTTCTATAGAGAGGGCACTGGAGTATCTGATGACTAAGTAATCACGATGGCTAAGTAATCACTTTCTGTCTTTCTTATTTGGAAACATTTAAATGGAAACTCCATTTAAGGTTTAAGGAAAATTTTCTCAGAACCTATACCTTCCTATTTAAATAACTTGGCACTAGATAATGAAAATTCCCAGCAAGTGATGTTTCAAGGTCTGCTGTTAAATTGTTGGGTATGTATGTCACAAAGTTTCTCATTTTACCATCTGTTTTTCTGTAAACTGGATAACTGAACTCGAATAACACCTCCTTCTGAGGTGAAGTAAGAATTCCCCATGGAGAGCTCATTTTAGTGCAAATGAAGTGGTAGGATATGGCTCCTAACTTCCCCATGGCTCAATTTACTGATCTGTCACGCTGCTCCATAAGAAGAGCTGTGAATCTGTTTCTAAAAATATTGACATCTTAAAAAGCATAGTTATACAGAGGAGATCTGAAGCAATACCTTTGTATGAAGTACTGGTCCCGTGAAGTCACCAAACCCAAGACTTCATCCTTACATATAATTAGATTCACTGCTGTTATTAAAATAACAGATCTGTTCCTTGAAAAGGGACCTCTCTAGGGGAAGTTAGTTGCTAGTAATTTGAATTCCTTAAAAACACTTTGAAAATCCCTTCTGAGATTGTCTCTGCAGTCCTCCCCTTAATCAAACTGTCCTCTGAAGTCCACCAGTTGTGGGGCCTTCATTTCCCCATTTAGAGTTGCTGCTGTTGAGCACCTCTATGGCACCCTGGGAGTGCAGTTTGAATTAGGTGAGGAAATAAAACCCTCCCTGCAGAGCTGGCAGTGTACAACAGGAAACCTATAAATGCCTATTTGTCACTTCTGTTTTTCTTTCACTCCACTTTTCTTCCAGTTAAGCAGTGTCAATACCTGGTGCTACCTTGAGTATGCTCAGAGCTCCTACAAGACTCCAAAACCCTTGTTCAGGTGTTTCTGTCTATTCTGCACTCATCTCTGGTCCCTTTCAACCCAAGCCATTCTATGAATCTGTAATTCTATAATCAGAGTTTGAGGGATGAGAGAAATTTTCCCCTGATTTTTTCCATCCAGCTGCCATCTAGATGTTTCCCAGTTGTCTTTCCTGCTGGTCTGTGCATTTATGTATGTGCCTCTTTCCCCTCTTAACCTGATGGTTTTTTTCTCATCCTTGTGTCTTTCTCATCCTCTTACAGCTGGTACTCTCTGGCCAGGGTGTGGCACCATCAACCAGAAATATTGAAAGCAGCCCATGAAGTTGTAGGGTTTTGTACCACTTTATGTCTCTGTATCAAACTCATTACAGTCATACTAATAATTTTAAACCTAATAAGTTCTCTGTTTATGAGATTGCTGAATTTTAGCCTGGGCTGTGACCTTAACAGTTTTCACCTCTAGAAACATGAGTGCTGAGAACACAATCTCAACTCTCAGTCCCAACTCACTTGTTTTAGCTTCACAGCTAAGCTCACGTCTGCTATGCCTTCATCAAATGGATACATTTGTCTCTTCATTGCATCTCAACTAATTTCATGTCCTCTATTCTAATTAAAAGTGACTTCTCATTGAAAGGAAAATAGCTCCTATAAGTATATCATACCTTTGCTGAAATACTGACACTAGATGTTGCTGTAATATACTGGGCCAAGCAAATTATTTTTAAAGCAAAATTATTAAACTATGATCTTGCTTAATCCTTCTATAAACATTTGGGGAAGAAAAATATGCTTTAATCTTGTTTCAGTTCTACATTTTTTTGGTGAATAATCTGTGAATAATTCACTTTCCAGATGCAAAGTATTACTGAGGTATTATGATAAGACTAAGGAAAACACAACCAAAGATGTATTTCATTTAGAGGGTTGTGTGTTTGTTTTTCAAAATAGAAGCTTTGGTGCCACCACTCATAAAATGTAAAGGAGTCACCTTGCTTTCAGCCCACCTGCCCATAATGGTTTGAACTTCACTCCTTGTACCATTGAAGGCAGTAGTAGTGTCATAACAATGCTGCTCCATGTCATGGCCAAAGATAAAATAGTTTCAGTTGTGCCACCTTTTGACAAAAGCCACTGCTGCCACTGCTGAATGGATCTGGGATTTGTTTATTTCTGCCTCACAGACATCTGTTCCTTCTCCCAGGTCCCCTGATGCTGTCTGCCTTCATGCAGCATTAAACCAAGTCAATAAGTCTTTCTGTCTGTGGGATACAGAAAACACAATTGGACCATACCAGAAATGTCTCCTTCTTTGCTGTGGTTCAAAGCTATGTGTTGACTGTAGATTAGTTACAATTTTATTAGTAGAGATTGGCCACTGTTTTTCTGCAGGACTTGAAGACATTGAGCTCTGTAACTTTACTATTAGGTCCTACAAGTGTTGTTGTCTTGCTTGGCCAGTCTTGTCTCTGAATTGTTGAAATATTCCTTCTAATATGTGTCAGTTATTATATGCAACTATACAACAATTGTTATTTTTTAAATCTGGTCTAGGTGATTATCTCAAGCTGTTTTGACTTGGCTGCCATATCAAACTTGGGTAGAACAGACTGTATGAACCAAAACCATGCAGCAGGCAGAGAAATTAGATTAAAACTATGTATAAGAGAAATCTTCATAAACATCTCCTATTACATCTTTTCTTATCCAAAGATTTGGAGCAGAGTCCTGGCCACAATGAAGTCAATGGAAAAACTCCAATTGCTGCTAAGAAAGGCCAGGATTTTATTCCAAGTCTTTGAAAAAAACCCATAATTAACCTTCCGTCGTGGCTGCCAGATTCCATGTCATCACTTGCTTCCACTTTCTGAATTTAATTTTAGTGAAAATCTGTCCAAAACTTAAGAGGCATTTAAGGAATAGCTAAGGGACTTTCTCCCTCTGACACTTTCTCTTATATGCCCAGTTAATTTTGACAATATTTCTTGATTTATTCCATGGTTTCCTCTTGTAACAAATATAAAAGACCATTCATTAACCTAATGACAAATTTTCCATGTTATTGCTTGCTCTTTTATGTTTCAATTTGAAAAGTCTCACAGTTCACCACACTGATTAATGGTCGTTAATTATTTACAACTTTGCTTTATTCTCTGAATTAAATTACTTCCCTTTCTTCCCCAAATAAATAAATGATGGTTTTAATTATCTTTCTATAAATATTTTGTTTAGTTCGGGTCAGGAACTCTTGCTGGATGTTCAGTATGCATTTGGTCTGCCATTCTACCCAAAGTATGAAGAACAATTTACTCTGGAAGAAAAGGGCCTTTCCTTGCAAATTATGCAGTATATCTCCAATTTTCTAAACTCTGGGTAAGTGTGTGACATTTAAGAATTGCTATGATTGGGGAGGGGGTGAGGAGTAAAGGGACAACAGTCCAGATCAGTCCTTATCCTCTCCTCACTCAATCAGCCTCCATTTCCTCTAGCAGCTTGGAAGCCTACAGAGGGATTTGGTCAACACAGTTGGAAAGTCATGGGCAAGTTGTCAAGCAGATAGCTAAGATTTGTATTATGACACTTAGATAGAAAGAATAAACATTTTATCTCCATGAACCAGCTGCAAATTCTGCTTAAATACATGGAGGCTACAATGGCCCTGATGCTGTTCCCAGAGTTTAGTTCTGGGACCCCAATTCTGAAGTCTCTTGTCTTATTCCCAGAAGAAAAGAAGAAGGACATGAAGACATGGTGCATCCCTTACCTGTGAATTACTCTGTGAATATCCCTCAACTTTATTGTGCCATATTCAAGAATGAGGATTATTTCTGGAAACCCAGTGTGGAAACTGTAACTTTATGTGCTCTTTAGGGTTTCTTCCATTGCTTTGGGATTGAGGGCTGTCGAGGGTGTTCCTAAGCCTGTGTCTGTACAGGTTCTGTGTACCTGTTCCTTAAGAAGTGAGCCAGACTATTGAGTTACTGCCAAGTGAGACACACATTCACCAGTCTGGACTAAATTTGAATCCTGCTGGTCAGAGGGACTGGATACACGTTTCCCTGACCTACCTGATCTCCTTCTCATTTTGCTCTTCATGTCATTGTTTTCTAATGATAATTTCTCCCACTCCCTTAGAAATCCAAACTACCCTCATAGTTTCTCGAGAAGAATGACAGGGGTGATGCCTGCCTGGCCCATGTATCTGCCAAGTGATGATGGTGATAACTACAAGGAGTTCACTGTTACCTTGCCGACTCTTAAAGGATTGAAAAAAGCAGACTGTTCCTTTTGGTCTGATTATATCAGAAGGCTGAAAGCATCCACAGGTAAGAGTGTTTCCTGACATTAAATAAAACCTAAACTCTCTGCTTAATGTTTTCCTCTGATGGTAGTGCTGTTGCATCACTGTGGAAAAACACTTTTCATAAATTAAACATCTTGCATTGGCCAGGGTATATAGTTAAGACTGTCCTGAGACTGAAGGGATGCAACACTAAACACATTTATTTTATAGCAGATAATGTGTAATAAGGTTTAGCTGTCCTGGAGACTAGAGAGCTAGTGAGATCTTCCTGATGTGATGATAGAAGATATGACAGAGATGTATCTTCTAATAGTTTGCTCCCTATTTGGAGTCATAATATAGACTTTGACTGAACTGGAAGGTATACAGGCCTCTTTTGTCTGCTGGAAGCACCTAACATGAGAATGTTGAGATCCCTATGGCTCAGGAGCAGCACATAAACTTTGATTCAGTGTAAAGTTGAGGCATTAGGTATATCTCATTATGGATCCTACATTCCTTGACTTGACACTAGATCAGTTTCTGTGACTTTTTTTAGAGTTGTGTTGATTACACCCCATGTATTTCTCCTTTGTCACCATTAATTTCAATGCAGCTATGAGAATCCCTCAATTTTTTCTTATTGTTTAGGACAGTAAAACTAACTCTGCTGAGATTTCAGTCTGCTGCCTGTCCTGAGCACTCCATTTATTCTAGTAAATGAGCTCCCCTTTGTGCCTGTGAATCTTGTAAATAAGTTTGGATAGCCTCAAGGAAAGCAAACAAAACCATCTATTTTTGGCAGACAGAGATGTTTTGAATTGTTCTTGGAAGCCTGCAAGTTTGCAAGTGTTTTTTTATGTCCTAAGGACTCTTCTTCACAGTGAACACAGTTCAGGCCCTCTCTGCTTTGGAGGGCCATTGCACTTCTGGGAACAAAATGTACTTTCCAAGACACGAAGCTACTCAGGCTGTCTATGCCTGACAGAAGACCTGAAATGGGCTGAGACTGATGTTTGAGTGACACAAAACTTTAATTGCTCAGAACCATCAGGTTGGTGGTTCTGATGCAAACAGAGAACATCAATTCTCTCATTCAAGAGGCAGCCTCAATCTTTACTCGTGATCTTTCTTAAAAAGTGGACTGAAGATCTTGCTGTCAGTCCTTTTATCATTTTCCTGGTATCCCTCAATGTCTTTCAAGTTCAGAGGGGATATTTTGCTCTCGCCAATGTCTTTCTGCTGGTTGAAATATTGCTAATTTTCAAAACTTGATTCTGATACTTAAACAGTCCTGGCTATAGCTTCTAGATCTTTGGGAACTTCACCTTGCAGCATTATTGCTGTGTAATGCCAGACTGAGCTGAAGTCACAGCACGCACAGAACAACTCTTGACTGAGCACCACGGACAGAGACTATTGCCAGCATTTACAGAAAATCCCCCCAAAAGATGAGAAATTATCTATCAGGGCAGATTGTTTTTGAAATGTAGAGGGTTTAAAACCATCCAAACTGGTGTAAGAACAGAACATTCATGTACGGGTCAAACCAGTGGTTTGCCTAGCTCAATATCCTGCTCTTGTCAGTGGCCAAAGCCAAATACTTGAATGTTAAACATAAAAATAGAGAGAGGGAGAGAAAAACACACTGAAATAGTTCACAAAGTTGAGTAAAATTTCTGAAAACAAGCCACGAGTTCATAAATTTGAGTAAAATTTCTGAAAACAAGCCACACAGTATGAGATTTATGGAGCATAGATTGTCAAGGAAAGGTTTTAAAAGTACATGTCAAATTATTCTTCAGACAGAAGTGAATACACCCTGCCTGCTCTTAAAGCCAGTGTTTGCTTGGCCTCAGCACCATGGTGATACAGTTACACAGATGACTTCTGCTAAATTTCATCTCATAGCAGTATTGGCTTGTCACCATGCTTTGATAGGGATCTTTAATCTTATCTCACCCTGGAATATTGAAACTTCTCCTACAACTTAAATAGACATCACATCCAACATTTCTGCTCCAGACCTCAGCATGGGATGGTAACTCGTTCTGTGGGTCTCTTTATACCAATATAAGCCCATCTCCTTGTGAAAAAAAACCCTCATAATTTTCATCAGTTCAGCTAGAAAGACTACATGAAATTCATGTGCTGTCATGTCAAAAGAGTGTCAGTCCACCAGTCCAAATTCATTACTTGCCTTGTTCCCAAAAATTAGATTCTGCAGGAATTGAGCCCCAAGCATATTGTTTCTGCTTGGCTGATGTGTCTCCTTGCACCTGAGGTAGATTGCTGTACCTCCCTTCAGAAATCAAACACTGCACCTCTGTTTTTACCTGACTGCTCCAGCTTCTGTTCCAGGAGTGCTTCCAGGCTGTTTGTATGGGATCTTGGAGTAGTGTTGGATGCTAGATTTGAGACAGCAATGCTGAAAACTATTCTTGCTTGTGCTCCTTGTACAAGTACCTTGTAATCCTTCCTGAGGGGGATCTATTTGTCAGTCAGCTACTGGGAGATCCAATCTAAAAATTTCCTGTCTTTCAACAGTTCTAAAGCTCCATGACAGTGGTTTTGGACTGTATGATGCACTGTTCATTCTGACTGAGGCTTAGTTTTGGATTGCAATTTGTGGCCTGATGCCAAGTAGATGGAATTTACAAGTGTGGCAGCAAGAGGCTCTGATAATAAAACAATCCAGTTTTCACATCCAAATGCAAAGTTGTACAGGATCTAGTCTGATATGATCTCAACCAGCTGTGATGAATCCTGTTTTGTCCATCTCACATTTTCCTTCAAAAAATATCTTTATAGCTTCATATATATTCTGTCATCTATAAGCAAAAACCCCCAACATATTTCAATGAAATTGAGCAGAACTGGACAAACCAGTGATTATAAAGTCTAACAGGAACTGGCTTTTCAAAACTTTTTCTTGATCCTTTGTATACTGCCATGTGAAATATATTGACTTAGAAATGACAAATTAGGGATAACTAAAGGCTTGAAGCTCAATATCTCAGTCCAACAGAAAACTGAGTTATACCTTATTGTGGTTTATGCTAAATGCATAAATTGCAGTTTCTGAAATAAAACCTCCAATATTTAGATTCTCTTATACAGCTGAAGTTACATGTCCTTTAGGTTATTCACTGCTGGATATAGAAGCTGTTGTGTATACATCCAGCTTAACTATTACCTGTTATTTTCTTTCAGTTTAGTAAAAATATTGTTCAAGTTGAAGTAGTGTTTCATTTTGTGATCAGATAGAATGTATTGTTTGTTCCTGGCACATAACTGGAATGTATGTTATTGTAATTGAAGATAATTTAACAAAGTTCCTGTCATAAATGCAATGATTCATCATGCTCTTTGCTGGCAGTGCCTTTACAAATTACAGAGGGAAATTTGAATCTGTTTCATTGCAGAGGAACTATAAATCTCTTCAAGTTTTGTTTGACACCAGTTTGTCACGTTGGCATTTTGGGGAAAAGTTTACCTGGGGAATTATGAAAGTGATGGTGCTTGAAAAGGTTTATATTTAGTAAATGGAGTTCCTATGATTGCATTTCAAAGACATGTTTTATATTTTGAATTGTGATGGTTTCTATGGTAAACATCAAAATGAGAACCAAGAAGAGTGGCCATTGTGGAAAAACAAGACAAAACAAAAAAAAGCTGTGGATGGCTTTTTCCAGGGAATTTGTTAACAACTTCAAATTCAGTTAAAAACAGGAGCTCCAGTATGTTTATGCATATTCAGACAGATATCTGAATGCTAAAATTCCTCTTGCATAGTGTGCTGGACTAAGCTGCCTAACAGTCAGCCCCTTTCTATGGGGCCTCTCTCTGTATCCCAAACAGGTATGGACTGAGCTGCCTAACAGTCAGCCCCTTTCTAAGGGGCCTCTCTCTGTATCCCAAACAGGTGGACTTGGATCCTGTCTACAACTCTTAATCATCTAACTGGTATCTAAACAGAACTATTCTTCCTGAAATAGTTGCCTCTGCAAGCAGTGTTGCAAATGAGGAGAAAGAGATGCCTTTAGTGTCTCAAAGTTGAATCTTGTCTGCCTAACCCATGTGCCTAGATTTAGACATTTAGACATACTTTACATGTGCAAGTTAGCCAGACTGGACACCATCTGTAGAAAATTCAACAGGTACCAAAGCTGAAGCCTTCTCCATGAGCTCTGAGACATGTGTGTAGCCACACAAGAGTCAAAATAAAGCAACAGTGTTCATAGTTCAGACTTGAATCAAGACCAAATCAGGAATATTGTGACCATCATTTATCTTTTATCCCTTCTATTCATACCTTCTATTTGGAAACCCCAACTAGAAAATAGATTCCTTTAGTATTAGGGAGATCTGTGCAGCAATGAGAGCATTCTGGCTTGGAGTCATTAAATAAACACCTTTGGTACACTTTCTTGTCATAGTTTGGTGGTGTTGAGGCAACTGCATCACTGAAATAGGGTGGAAGACTAAAATTTGAGAAGGTAAAGGATAAAAAAGAAGAAATCTATTGGAGCTGTGTGCTTGGGGCTTTATGTATTCCAGACAGACAAAAAATTTAATGTTTCCCACACTTCCTGCCTAGTAGGGAAATATCGGGAAATAATAAAAAAAAAAAGTCTTGAACAAGTGGAGAGCAAACTACTATGCATTCTAATGGTAGTTATTTAAAACAAGCTGAGATCATGATAATTAATTCCCCCCAGGTGATCTGCCATTACTTTGCAAACTGAGAAAAATAGCTTTTGAACATTTATAACCACATAAAAGTCTTTTAAGAGTCATTGACAAAATGCATACCTTGGAGCTTGCTGCATCGAAGATATGACATCTATTTTAACCTTAATTATGTTGTCTTTCCAGGAAGTGCAAGTGGTGGAGAGCCATCTTCAGAAAACAGCCCTAGTGAAGCTCCCAGTGAAGGACTTGCCTCCCCAGAGAGACAGCCCCTGGGAGATGAGGTGGCTTACAGGTGATAGGAAATCACAGTGCTGTTGGATGGGTTTCTCATATAATTGTACATCCACACAATCATCTCACACAAGTCACTCCCTTCAGTTAACTTTCTCAACAAGTAAAGTAGACCTTTCAGGAAAGTAGTTTTTCAAGACATATTGGTGAATATGGCACAAAATAAGCTCTGCAACTATCAATTTATGTCAAAGGAAACTGGAATTTGAGAAATGAAATATCAATAAAAACTGCAAAACCAAAACAAATGTACTTGGCCTTTATTTCATGCAACTATACAAATGCCAACATGTTGTAGTACCCGTATCAATAAAAACTGCAAAAACAAAACAAATGTACTTGGACTTTATTTCATGCAACCATACAAATGCCAACATGTTGTAGTACCCCCAGCCAGAAAAGGATATGCATTGAAACACTTACAAGTCCTTCAGCTGATGAGGTGCAAATTTGCTAGATGTCATATCTGTCTTGTCCTTTTTTATTACCCATCCTATCACATGCAGCCAATAGGAGTGGGAGCCTTGTTTGGCATTCTGGAGGAAACTGAAAAACTTCAAAATGAGAAGGAAGAGCAATGGAAGAAGGGAATCAAGAGTATACACTGAGTGTGTTCACTTGAATTCAGGTACATGCACATGCTATATTCAGCTCATGATCACCTGTGAAATTATGAATAAGATAGTTTGCATAAGCCAGAACACATAGCAGTGATAATACAAAGCATATGTTAATTAAGCTTAGAATATGCTCTAGTCAGAACATTTACCTTTTGTAAGGAGAAGGTGAGATACAGAATAGTTTTGGAAGTGTAAGGAAAATCATAGGATACATCTAATGGCTCTGAAGGTGTTTTGGATTAGGCTGTTGATTCATTGCTGGCATCATTTGGCAACAGAATCCTCAGTTGGCAGCATATCACACACGTGTTCCTGATACTTCACAAAAAGTGAAATCAAAGTTGCCCCAAAACTAACAGCAAAATTTCTGTTGATTTCAGTAGGCCCCAGATCTCTTGTGCAGTGCTGAAATAACTTAATAAAGCAACTCATAAGGTTTTGTTTGCTGTGTGGGACCTTTGCCAGTACACGAGCAGTTACTGCTCTCTGCCATGTATTTGTGTTTCCAAAGATTCTACCAAGATAGAAGAAAAACTTTGTAACAAATAGTTCTTATACTTGCATCCTGTTCAATAAACAGCAAAAAGAACAGAAGAATCAAGAAGCTTGTTAACTGACTAAAAACAAAACAGTAAAGATGGAGAACTCAAACTGTGTTTTCCATCATTTAGTTTACCTAAACTAGCTAATTGCTACTAAAAAAATCCCTTAAATATGTAAGAATTTTCTTGAAAGGCCAGATCTTAATGACATACCTCAACAGAGGTTGCTTCCTTTGCAGTAACTATAGATACAGCAGTTGTGATTTCTTGGCCAAGACTGGGTTTAATTTTCCTCTTTTGAGACAGCTCCTCAAAATCAATGTCTAATAGCTTCTATTAAAAACTCAATGTACCTTGCCAAGACATCTTGTTTTAATAACAGATGTGATTTTACATGTGTCCACGTATGCAGTCAGTCATGTGCATATCTTCAGCCACATCATTTCCATAATGGAAGCATCTTGGTCCTTTTTAGCTTCACCCTAATAGTCCTGTGAATTTTCATTATTATATATATGTA